CTTTTACTTAAAAATATTTAGCAGGCAAGATAGTTTTGCAGAAAAAATACAAAAGTCCCCATCTCCACCTCAGAAGATAACATCTGTAAACATCTGAATCAACTCTGAAGTTCCTTCAGCACTCTAGGGCAGAACTGCCACAGAAAGAAGCTGCTTTTTCCCCTATGCTAGCACAAGTATTTATGAGCTCTCAGGATAAATCAGGCAAGGAAATTATTCAGGCTAAAATTAACACAGATTTGTTTTGTTTAGTTGGTTTTTTTGTTTTTGTTTTGGGGTTTGTTTTTTTTTGTTTTCTTTTCTCTGAAGATTTAACCCAGATCTGTTCACCCATCCGTTTTGGCACGCAGCAAAACAAAATGCTTATAGAGAGGTACAGAAGAGAGCTTGGGACAAGCAGCAGAGTGAGCCACTTCTGTTGGGTGTTTAAGTCAATCTCTGAGAAAGTCTCCAGGCATTTTGGATCAATGGGGCTATTTTTACTGTATCTGACAATTAAGTACACTACTATTGATCTTATTCATAGTGATTACAAGGTTTTATATAAATGAGATCAAGATAGTCTCTTGTGACCAAAGAAAGTTGTATCTGAGATTTAAGTTTACTGACAGCAATACACAAGTCTGGAGTTTGACAAAGCAGTAAAATACAGTCAATTCTGAAACAATTCCAATAGTCAGAGAGAAGCACTGCAGCAAAGCAGATGCTGAGTTTCTAAAAGTTCTTTCAACCTTCAACTATCTTTTGGAAAGAAATATAACACTGCTAGTACAATTTTTCTCAACTTGCATGTAGTTGCTGGCCCAATTTTGGAACTAAAGGAGGAGTACTTGGTTACCTTGTAATAGTTTGGTTTTCTCCACCTTTGTCACTTGGTTGAATAAGTTACCACCTTCCCCACAAGCCTTACTAAATTGACAAGCACCTGAGTTACAGCCCTGAAACCAATCACCATATAACTTGAACAGATGCATTTTAAAGAGGAACATTAGCCTAAAAAAAAAAAGTTGTTCTGTAGTCAAAGTACAGTGAGCTCTCCACTACATGCTAGCTGTCTAGTTTGATTAAATATTATTTGATCTATGAAATGAACACTTGTCCCCAGCCACACCAGTTAAAAATCACTTCTTCAATAGCTGGAATTATACATCACATAACCATCTCAATCTAAAAAGGCACTGACCCATCAGTGTAATTTAATGCCAGAAAACACCTTTTTGACTCCATTAAGCACCTGAACTAGTGTTTCACTCATCATACATATGCAATCTAGAGGCTTTTCCTTTCTACATCACTTCAGAGGTGCATGTTGATTTTAAAATTCTCAGTACTTCCAGGACTGTGCTAATGTTATCAAACAGATATATCAAAACACTGTAAAATAATCTGGCCTACATTTTATTACCCACAGCCCCAAGCAGAAGGAGGGAAAGGATAGAAAAACATTCTTTTTAGAAGTCCTTGGCACAAAAGCTGCTGCTCAGGCACTCTGGGACAGGTGCCCAGAATGTCTCAAGTTCCAATAATAAGAAAAGCCTTCATTACGAGAAGCTATCTGGACACAAAAATACAGATGCAATATCAGAAAACTTGCTAATGAAGACACAAATTTGTAACCAATTAAGTTGGCCATGACTTCAATAAGCTAAAAGAACAAAAATTTGCAGGAACTGACCCAAAGCCTGGTGGCCAAAACAAAAAGTTACACACACACCTTTTCTAAGAGACGCACAGAGCATCTTTAGATCATGCATGGCCAAGGCAGCAGCAAAACCCCTACAATTTCCAAGGACTGGCCCATGCCTGAATTTGTACATTCTGCTAAAGCCAGCGTTTATCATTAGATCATATTTAAGTTATGGAAAGTTGTCTTATAAATAAAAAAAAACAAAAGCCCACTTTTTTAAGCATTTCCATCCCAAGCACTGCATCATCATAATATTCTGCATGCCAAATGAATGTTTTTATAAATCAAGCTGATACAAAGGAACATGGATTTCATGACTAAAGATTATATATGTCTACACAAAGGCATAAAGGAAAAAAAAAGACTTCTTGTTTAGTTCTAAAGTGCACAGAACTTCCAATTTTCTTGATGCTTCAGTAAAGCCAGTATCTGACAAAAAAAAAAAAAACAAACCAACCTCAAATGCAGGTGAAACTATACCAATAAGATAAGAAAAATCTTCCTCTGTTGTTTCAGTGATGGTAGGTCCACTAACAAAGTGTTTGTTCCATTCAGTCTACAGTCTTGAAGTCATCCTTATTCCTTAACACTATTTCATTAAAAGAAATGACAGAAACAAACAAACAAAAAAACAACAAAAAAAACCCACAACCAAGAAAAGATCTGCTCTTAGACTGAAAATTATGTCCAATACATACACATTAATTTAGCACAACATATGCATGACTTTGAAATTCTATTATTCCTATTATCTAGGAATGGCACAGCTCACCATTGCAAGTTCTCCAGCCAGGACAAAATAAAATACTCATTTCAATAAGCACCTCAAAATTGCACTCCTTTCAACACAGACTTTCATACAAGGTCTCTGTCCAAACAATCAAAGCTCTAGGATCTTCTCCTGTAACTGGCAATATTCCACCACAGTTTTGAAAATACTAGGCTGGACTTGTCCATTCACACTTTGCATAAATGTAATTGGACAACAAGGCTCATTTTCAAAGAAACAACTGACGTGTGTCTTGCTGCTTTAAAAGCTAAGCACAAAGCCCACATTCTCTTCACATTTATAGGCAAAGAGATTTTTCAGTGTACTAAGTGATTAGGCAAGACCATGATTTCTGGTTTTTAATCTTTGTGGGGTCACTGCTGTGATGGGAAACAGATCATCAGCAGAGGCAGTATTTTCAATCTCTAAAAAAATTATGATTATCTCTTCACCCTAGGCATAGGACCAAATCCCACGTTACAACTTTCTGATCTGAAGACCACAGAGTTAACTAGCAAGTTGTGTCAATATTTGATCGATGCTCAACTTTATTCTCTATTTTCAGCAGTGTTAAGTAATAATACTACTGCATCACAGTAGCATATCATGTTTCCAGTCGAAAAAGGGATTAAAAAAATAAAAAAACAGAGATAAGCTTCAGTCTCCCCAAGACGCTGTCAAGCAAGCAGAGAAGATGCTTTTGTAACAGTCACTTTGGCTTATGAAAATTTTGCAACTTTGCCAAGTACCAGTTGTACTGAACAGGAAAGAAATATGAAGTATTATATCAAATTCTAAAATCTGAGACAGGATTTACCTATGAAACAACTTCAATGTTTGATCTACCAACTCTAGAAATTACTTTGCTGTTTGCTACCAGTGCTATCTTTTCAGTAAAGAATACCCTTAACTAGATCCACTTGTTTCCCTTGCTCAACTACACTTGCTCAAAGTACTGAAACCCACAAAAACCTTCTTCTAGCTTACCGAAGTTTTCAGTAACATATCCTACATTATTACTCATGATTCCACTTCAGACCTCTCTCCAAAACTGGACATATTTCACACACAAAATAGCAGCTGAATGTATTAACTCTGGCTTTGCAATTACTTGCAAGGCTATGGTCACGAATCACAAAAATGACTCTTCCTCTTTTAAGGAAAAGTAAAGAGGTGGTATTTCCACAACGGTCTGCAGGCAAGCAGGAGATATTTCAACTGTGCCGAGGAAACTCTGGCTGTTCTCCTTTCCAGTTATGAAATGTTTACCTGAACAAGCAAAAGTTGCAGGAAAAGGGGTGATGATCAGGACTGCTCACCTTTAACCGTTTAACCACCTCATCGTTGGTAATTTTGTCCGTAATCTCTTTCACTCCAGGAGGATAGTAGATGATTTTACCATCGGCAGCAGGTTTTGGTTGGGTAGCAGGGAAGTCCATCCTGGTGCTGCTGGTTATAAACTTTCCTTCTCCACAGTCCTCTACCGGCCTCTATCGGTCAGAAAACAAAAGTTCAGCAGAATGGAAACGACTTTCTAACCCTCTTTTTCCATTTCTCACCCTCAATTCGCAGAAGGCCCCGGTTATCACCCCGCCGGCCGCCTCCCCCTACGCCGCCTCCCCTACCCCAGGCGGTGCCGCAGCGAGGCCTGGCCCGCCGCTGCCGCCGCCGCTCCTCACAGCTCCGGCCCCTCCATTCCCCTCCGGGCGCCTCCTTTCATTGCGGGGCTGCTCCAGCCCAACACTGTTAGTTCGGAGCCGACGGGTTTACAATGAAATTTCGGGGTCGATCGAAGGATGCCCCGGGTCCGAGGGCCCGTTACGGCCAAAGGAGAGGGGAGGGGGTGCAATTCCCGGCCCCGAGGGGGGTGCTCCGGCGCCGGCACACCGGCCCCGGAGCCGGGAGACGAGGCCTAAACAGTTAGGCCTCAAAACTATCAGGAGGCAGAGAAACCAACAGGAGAGGGGGAGGGAGGCGGCGGCGAGCACAAACAAAACAGCCCTGCCGGCCCGCTAGCCCGGCGCCGAGACCCCCACCCGCCCCCTCCCGCGGCCCCGGGAGCCCCCCCGGGGAGGGCACCAGGCCACTCTCCACTTTCCATTTGTTCCCGCAACTTCATGTCCCCTCAGCCCCTCGCCCCGCCACCCCTCCTCGCCTCGCCACCTCGCGCCCAGCCGGACCCACAAAGAGCCACCCCAACACCCGACTCCGCGCACACACCCCCGCCGGCCGCAGGCAGCGCGGAGGGGGGGAGCGGCCACAGAGGGAAGCGGGACCCGGAGCCGCCTTTACCTCATGCAGCTCCGGAAGGTGCAGCATTGAGTAGCCTCCGTGCCGGGTGGTCCTCGCCGCTCCGCTGCCACCCCCGCCGGCCGCTGCCCTGACTGCTCCGCCACCTCTCTGCTCCGCGGTGCGGCGGCGGCTCCTGCTCGGGGAGGGGTGGGGGTTGGGGGAAGCTGCTCGGTGGCGGCAGCGGCGGCTGGGGAGAGGGGGAGGCTCCGGCGGAGCGTGCGCCGCGGGGACACAGTGCCGCTCTCCGTCCGGCCGGGGAAGAACAGCTCGGGAGGAGGCTCCGCACCGCCCCCCTGCCCGCCTGCTCGCCCGCCCTCGGGCCTGGGGCCGGGCCCGGAGCGCCGCCCAGCCAGGATCCCTCAGCCCCAGGCCCGGGGCAGGGGCGAGGCCGGCCAGTAAGTCTTGCTTCTCGCCGAGCCCTGCGTCAGGCGGCGGCGGCGGCGGCGGCGGGTAGTACCGGGCGCGGCCGCCGCAGCGCTGCCTCCCGCTTGGCGCCAAAACCTCCGGAGCGGCCGGGCCGGGTCGGGCGGGCCGCGGCCTGAGTGAGGCTCAGGCCCTGACTCTGCGGGGCTCTCCTCCCGGGCGGCGGGGGGCAACGGCTGGCTTCGAGGGTGATGCCGGGGCTCCGAGGGGCAGGCTGCCGCGATTGCCGGGGAGGGGGCCGGCTGGTGCCCGGCTGCAGGGCGGCAGTGGAGAGTGCGAGAGGGGAAGAGACATCTTTGTGTTTCTTCATGGAGCCGTGCTCATGGCCGTGCGGTCTCGTCTGGCCGGTTCTCAGGCATCGGGGGTCGGTAGCGAGCCCTGGTCGGCTTGGTAAATCAGCAAATGGGGGGAGTGGTGTGTGGGGTGGCACAGAGCGTGCTGTGGCACAAAGGAGTAAATAGCCCTTCTTCAGGAAGCTGGGGGGAAGAGCAGCATCCACGCATTGATGCCAAAATCTTCCTTGTTGGCAGATGAGTTTCTCAAACATGAATTTAGTTATAAATCTCTAGGAGAAACCTGAATATGCATTCCAGAGGAGCCCTTGCCAGCCACCTCAGGAAATCCTTCCATGCAAAATGTCTTTGTAATTTAATATTCTTCAGTATTTGCAAGAGATGGGGTATGTTTGGAAACTCAGTAGCAAAGGGGATGGATGTATCTGTCTGATTTCAGTCTGTATTATGTGCATGTCTGAAGCATAGGTGGCTATAAAGTGTTTGCCATATGCCCATCCTGTTCAGGGAAGGTGCATGACAGCTGAAAGATGACTTTTAAGACTAATTTAGGGTCTTCAGCTGACTACTCTCAGTTACTTGAACCAGTTAAAAGTATCATTTTCCTCAGTTTGTAAAATCTCTAAAAAGTTTTTGCTAGAGCACATTAAAAGTAGAAGGCTGGAACCACTGATCTCTTTGGAGAGATGGCTCCTCAGAGGCCTTGCTGGACACAGCAAAGGGGCTGACATGGCCTGCCAGTCATGCAGGAAAGATGCAGGAGGACGAGATGATAGGAAAGGGCTAGGTAAGTAATATTATGGTGAAGTATGCCAAATTCCAGATTTACAGGGTGTGGGAGGAAATGTGCAAAGACTGAAGCGCTCCCAAGTGCTTCTGGTACAATAGCATGTGGGTAGGAAATTGCTCTCCTATACCTGTGTTCCTTGTTTTGTCCTAGGGAGTTAAAGCCTTGAATGTCCATAGCCTCTATGAAACTGCCTCAGAAGGATTCTTTGTTGTGAAAATAACTGGGAGTTGGAAGGAACACTTAGGTGGTCTCAGAGTCTGATTTTGAAATCTAGAAGGGTGCCACCACACATAGCATTTAAATGTAGCTGTGAGTCCAAGTTAAATAAAAGGATTCTCTGGAGGCTTAAGGATCAATGGATTGGAGCATTGACAATGGACAGATGACCTTAAGAGTGGGATACATGAATAACTTTTAACAAGGTTGTACTGATTTAATAAACAAATAAAGCCAACACCAAGTGATTAATCTTTTTCCTAATCCCAATTTAAGTGTCCATTTACATTTGCCTTAGAGCTGAAGTACTCAGACTAGCTATCAGCTGTTATTTGATGTCAGTAAAATAATGTGTACTGTCAGAACTATTACACCGCTAACAAATTATTTGTTTTCATTCTTACAGTTGTTAATTTAGGTACTTTGCAATGTGGTGCAGATTCCTTATTTTAATACACTTGTGTGAATAAGTCAAAAACAGATCCTAGAAGATTGTAACTAAAAAAGTATGTATCAAGAACCTGTATGAGCTGTCTTCAGTTTAAATAGAAAAGGAGAGAATATAAATTAGTAAAAATAATGCAAGAAATAAATTTGAAGTGACCTTTGTTAAAGTTTTTCTCTTGACTAAAGCATAAAGCTAGGAAGGTGTGAGGCAGGCCTCTCTTTGGGCAGAATTGAAGTGTTATGGGTGTTATAGGCCAAAAATGTCACTCAAGACTCAGAACTTCTGGGTTTTAATGTTTATTTGTGGGTTCCTTCCAACCCAAAGTATTCTATGATTTTCAAGTATTCTTTTATTATTAAAAAGCAGTGGTTTGTGTATATCATTAATGTGATCCGCAGTGTGTAGTTACAAGTTTTTCATGAACTGATGCCATCTTTATCTAGAAAGTTTTATACAACAGCTCATGAAGTAGGAGTGAGAATGAGAAGGTAGAGGGGCTACACTTCTACAACTTTCTTTTAGTACGTGAAGGACAAACACAGTGCAGAGCCTCTAGTATGCATGCACTTGTATTTTCCACTGAAGAATTAAGATAAAATGTTGCATTCTAAGGCATATGTACACTAAAACTAATGTAGTTAGATGTGGCATATGAAAGATTTCACTTGAAAAGTCAAATTTTGCTCAATTAATTACAATTTTATTTAATCTCAAGGAAGTTGTGAAGCCCTACGCTGAAGTACTCTTGATTGTGGACCAAGGACTCTCTTTTTGCAGAGTTCAGATAAATAATGAAGCTAGCAATTACTGTAGATTATTAAAATAATTTTAATTCTCAGGGGTTTGTGTCTGCAGTATCACACAAAAAGTCCTGAAATACATAAGTAGAAAGTTGAGTATCTAGGAGAGGTTCACACTAGATTTCTGCTTTCATAGGTAATGATTAATCAGAAGTATGAAAACCTGGATCACCCCTCAGCATCAGTGTTGGAATCAGCCGTTAGATACAGATGCAGTTTCTAGTGGCAGACTGCACCACTCTGGTATAATTCAATGTCTGACTGTAGGTTCTGGTATTAACACAACCTTCCTGACATACCCTAGGTCCACGGTGGGAGTATTTTGCCAGCACAGTATTGTACAACTATCAGAGCACTCTGAGGATCGGCTTTGATTTAGAAGCTGCTAGTCAGGTACATGGTGTTTTGTATCAATCTTGGTCAAATCATGATCAGAAAAGTGGTTGAGAGAGGAGTAGGTGCAAATTCTGGGATGATTAGGCAATGGTCACATCTTTTCTCAGGAAGAGAAGCAGCAAGATAGGTACTTCTGCACTATTTGAAATTCTAAAGGGCTAAAATAAAGCGTGTGGTTCTGACAGCACACCCCATTAAGGGAGGTATGAATGAACACTTAACTGCCAATTAGCTTGAATATACGCATGGCATTTTTAGAATGTGCAAACATAAAAGCTTCAGATAATCTGACCTATGGAACTCTTAATCTGAATAGTCCTGAAGTCTGCTCACAGATATGATTACAGCTGCTAGTGTCTGGTTTGTTGCCTTTGCTTGTTTGACCTTCACCCTTCTAATTTCAGCAAGCATTTGAGATCTGACTTGGACTCTGCTTCCAGGTTCACATGATCCCTTGCATTTTAATGGGTGGCTGTGTCTAATAATAAGACCCAGTCCTTCAGTCTTTTTGTTGAGTTCCTACCTGGACAAATTTCTGTTGGAATTTATTTACTTTTACTCCCATTATTTTTATTGGAATGTACTTACTCCAGGATGTTTGTTGTTTGTTTATTAACTTATTTTAGACTACCACTGCAAGTGTAATTTATAAGCAGACTGGAATACAAGGTGCTGAACACTCTTGATTCTGTTATGGTCAGGAGATGTTAAAGGAAAGTACCAAGAAAAGAAGAATGTGGTGATTTTACTGGTAGGGGAAATAATGTAGCACAAGGTTTTTAGAACAAAACAGCTTTCAGGTGAAACAGAAGAGAGTATGGAGTGATTACTTTAAGACAGAAAATCCTTTCATTCATGTTGATTAAATTAAGCTATGCACATGTTTCCAGAACAGCTTAATGGTTGTCCTCAGGTCTTTGTTAGAGCAGTAAGCATGGATAGTAATAATGACCAAGAACTAAATAGTCATTTTAAGAACAGCGTGTCATGAATTGCAGAATAAACCATATCTGTCAGTCTGCTGGGCAGACAAGTAAGAAATCCTATCTGGTAGGTTAAGAAAGCACTTGTCTTCCTAATAATAACTGTGCTCTTGAAAGCTCCTGCTTTGCAGAACCAGGCTGTAGAGTGTGGTCCTTCACTATTAGATTTTTTAAGTCACAGTCAAATAGGTCAAGAGGGGGAGGAAAAAAGCTTAATTACTTGTTTTCAAGTCTAGCATTTAGCCAGTTTTTTATATCTAGCAGGTTGATTTCTGGTGAGCTGCTTCCTAATCATGAAGGGTTTTTTTTCACCTTCATGAAAGCCTATTTACTTTTTCAGTGTTATGCTTTTTTTTTTTTTCCTGCAATACACCAGTTTCTCTGAACTCAGTAAAAATCAAACCTTGGGAAATAATTTTTTGTCTTCAGTTTCACATAGAAGCTTTTTCTGTTAGTTTTTCTTTTCTTTGGTATTAGTCCTTATTTCTGGTTGTCTTTTCTCTTTGCATGTCTGTTGCTTCTCTCCCACATGCAGTTGCATGCAGCTCCTCCAGTTAAAATTACAGCCTTTAAGTTTGCTGCACTGGATCTTCAGAGATATTCCTGAGGTTTCTAACTAAACTCTGAAGCGTAACATATCTTTGATAATAGCACCTAATTGTTTTAACTACCTATTTTTACTAAAGAATTGATGTATTTTGAGGTGGGTCAGAGGTGGATTTCTTCACAATGTGGGTTGCCATAATGGAAGACCTCCAAAAGGTGTCCCATTCCGGAGGGTATTTTCAGTGAAACTGTTTTCATATTAGAATAGACCAGGAAGCATGTTTCATCCCGAAAACAGGGATTTACATTTCTCTCCCATGTTCTACATTGACAAAGCTAAATCATTGAAAGGGTGGAGGAGGACTTCTGTGTATTATCTTATGAAGATAATCAGCTGGACACACAAAGTGCTTCCTTGAAATAGAGAAGGGTCCCGCAACTCACTGACTTTTCATGTAATAGCACCAGTTCTGAATAAAGGGAAGAACCAAATAGTGTATGATGAAACTCGTTTGCAACTGATCCCTAGCCACAGTCTGTCTACATGTTATTTTGTTTTGGGTTTGATAAGGAGGGCTTTCTCCTGTGCTGTCTGAAAATGTCCTTATTCTGAGTCACGCTTGGAGATAGGACAGTTATAACAAAATCTTAGAATAGTCTTGGTTGAAAGGGAGGGAACTTTAAGATCATCTAGTTCCAACTACCCTCTGGATGTGACCTGTTGACTAACTCGTTGAACAGCTGGAGGTTTGATTTCCTAAAATTCAGGGTCCCGACTTTGCCTGACCCATATCCCTCAGGACTGCAACTCCACCAGTGCATGATCACTGCAGTGGAGGCTACCTCCACTCTTGATGTTGCTGAGTAGCTCACTTGTGCAGTATCGCATCCCCTGTGGTAGGGCTGTCTATTACCTGGTAATAGCATAATGAGGATAACCATAAGAGGTCCCCTTGATCTGCTGGCTTCTAGTAGACTCCAGCCACAAGGTTCCCTTTGTTGTCTTTGTCTCTAATCAACCTGCTCATGGCTATTCTCGAGAGACAGCTATACTTCCCAGATACAGAATTGTCACCGAACCTCTGGTATCAAGACACATTCAGAAATGACAGAGATGGTCATTGTCAGTATATTTAAGCCATTGTGGACAAGTGTATACTGGAAAATACACCTGTAATTTACAAATACTGTATTGACAGAACAATTGCACTTGCTTCCTTTGCTTGCAAGTGAAGTAAAATCAATTTATTGGCATTTGTATATTGGTGATTTCATAGGAGAATTTTAGAAGCCTCTTTGATCCAGTGCTAGTTTTGAGTGTTCAGAAACTGAAGTCACAGCAGCCTACTGCATGTCATCTGTCCACCTCCTTTCTAGCTGCTCTCTGTTATGATGACTTGTCACCATTCCCTACATAATTACGTTCTCAAGGTTATTTCCATCTCCACTCCTGATGTGTCCAAAGCACATACATTTACACCTATTCATTTCTGACAACCAAGTCTACTTTTCTCCAATAATGTATTTAATAGGAGCATTTATCATCTTTTCTGTCCAGGAGACAGGCAAGAGTCTTCTCTTGCACCGCATCTCAAAAGCTTCAATTTGCTTTGTGTCACTATAAATAATTTATCAAAAGTCACATTCATGAGTAGCTACAGCAAAAAATTAAGCATTTCAGTAGTCATGTCTTCTACTTTTGGGGTGATTTTTTCCCCCAGGCTTTTATAAGTGAAGCCGTGGATGGATCAACTATTCTTCAAATTTTTCCAGTTTCTATTGGACAGGTTCTGATTGGATAAATTTGATCCCAGGTAACTGAATTTATGAACAGTCTCTGTAGTTAGATCATTAAGCATGATGTTAGCTTATATTCTATTTTTATTAATTAAGTGAAGTTATTTTATTTATGGCACACTCAAGAATAGCCTGTATTTTTTCATTAGCCTTTTATTGGGTCTCTAATACTTGCTGCACAGTAGAAGCAGTTATGACAAAGAGTGTTATACCATTAGCCAAAGGTTGCTTAAAAAGGGTCTGTTTCAAATTCATCTTTTCGATTCTGCAAAGTCCTTCCCAGATATTTTTTCCCCAGCCAGGTTGCAAGGAAAGCTGCAATTACCTGTAGTTGTAGTAGTAGTGTATGGCTTTCTATGTTTGCTGTATTTTTTTTCAAATAACAGGGCGGATCTGGGGAATTTCTGAGTGTATGGGTCTGCTTAGAGGAAATAACACTGAGGAAACTGGGAGTTTGGCAATGCATTTAGCTCATGGCAGCTACCTACTGGTGGGAAATCAGTATGAGCAGAATCTCTCCCTCTGCCTCATTAGATGAGAACTGTCCTATGACCTGTTAAAAAATTAGAACGTGTGGAACTAACACATGTTAGAGTTAAGAGCCTCCGATTAAGAGGCTCCTTTGTGGAAAGTATGGATTGTATTTGTGATGCTTCTCTTCCTAATTCTTTCACAGATACAATGTCTGCGGCTTGCAGTACAGAAAAGAATCATATGAAACTTTACAAATTAATATGAACTTGGAATTTACCATTATGGTCAAAGAAAGATGTCTGATGAATGGATGAACAGTCTCAGAGCTGTACTGTAATGATGGGGTCATTTCATGGTAATGGATAGGTATGTGGTATACTATTCAGAGGCTTAAAAAGGGGTTGCATTTATCAAACTAGGGGAAGCATCAAAGTGTTTGGGTATGACTGTGAGCAATAGAATCATTACAGTTTGCCTTTGAACAAAGGAAGTATATTGATCATATAGGTTTATGCTGCTAGGAAAGCATTCAGTCTATGAGTTCTGTGAATGGCTTGAGGGGATAATCATTAAAACATTATACCATTATACCATTTGGGAACTTGGATATGAAAGTTGGAATTTCAAACCCTTGTAAAGAACAATTTACATTTGAATTTACAAAATAAAATTACTTCTTTGGATTGTACAGCTCCGGTCACTTCATCCTTACAAATAATGCGCTGGATGTTTACATCAACACAGGTCATCAGTATGAGAGAGGAGCACACTGACAACATGGTGATTCAGCAGCAGAGAATACTGAGTATCAGTGGAAGAAGATTTTCCTAAATTCAGGGTATGTGGCAGCAGAGAAGGTATCTAAGGTTATTTGAGCCAATACTTGAATGGATATTTAACAGAGCAGACAATGAATTTGTGACTAAAGAGAAGACAGAATATCAGGTATTGAGTAGATAAAGCCAGAAGTAGGCTAGACAAAGCATGAGCAAATATAGAACTGGGAAAAGCATATTCCTGACAAACATAGATGCGTAGTAATATAAAAGCTGTGTTCGCAGTAGTCAGATTTCTAACCAAAAATTCTCCATGACAGAACATAAAAATGCTCATGATCGTAGAGTGGTTGCTGAAAGTGATGATATTAAATGCCAGCAGAGGGATTACTACTTGTAAAGTAGCCTGATACGTATCCACTTACAATTTCACCAACATCTAATACCACTATTTATATCCTATCTGAATTTGTCAAGGCAGCTCATGTGTACTCTGTGTACACAGTGTAGTATAACTACACTGTATCAAGCACATAAACACTTGCTTTCTTAAGTATGCCTCTGTACTGTTCTTTTTATCTTCCAGACGCTGCATAATTATACCTAATCATTTATAGTTTCAGGGAAGTGCATGCTAAAATCATGAACTTTCTTTATCTGACACCATTAAGAAGGCACAGACTTTTAGCCAGCATGTGAACATTTAAGTCACTACTTTATCAGGGGGATTTTAGTCAGTTTTTGCTTATGGAATGCCATTGATCTATACTTCATCAATATTTTTTAAACTTCCTTCGAGATTTGCTCAGCAGCCACCATCCAGCACAATGAGAAGAAAACTTGAGTGAACCATTTTGTCATCCATTTTCAGTATCCTTTAGCTTGACACTGCCTGGATGCACTCTGTTAGGCATGTATCCTTGCTTTGAGACCTGTAACAATATGTTCTCTCACCAGCCTCATAGTAAAAAAGATTTAAATGAAAAAATATGTTGAGAAGTCTATCAAATTCCGAATATACTAAGAGAGAACAGAGCAATGTTACTTTTAGGGGAGAAGAATGTTAACTAGCAATAGAGCCTTAATCTCCCTAAAGAAGCAGCTTCATTTAACAAGCAAGAAGTAACACTAAAGGAAGTACACAAATGCTGACATAATCTGTTATTTTTATTAACCAAGTGCTTTATATTTTCCAGAATTTAAGCATATTTGCGGTAATATTATGCCTTACTAAAACCTTATTTTGGTGTTTCTCTCTCTGCTCCTTTCTAAAAGGTTTGTCCCTTGGCCCTTTGCTGGATATGAGAAAGGGGAACACAAGAAAAGGTATGAATGAGCAAAAGAAATCAAAGGAGCAAAGATGAACGTGTGTGGTAGACAGTCTGCAGCTGGCTGTGCATTAGGAAGATTCACATTAACAAACAAAAGATGCAGAGCTAGGAGGTGAAATAAATAGACCTGAGTAAAGCATAAGTATATTTTAAGTGTCATTATTTGTGATCAGTAAGTAAAAGGCTCCTTTTGAATTTGATTTTGGTTTTGCATATTTGGAAGATACAAAAAAAATACTTTTTGAAACTAGCTGGACAAACTTGCAAGAAGATTTTTAAAAAGCATGGCATACTATTAAAATTCAGAGATAAAAAGGAGATTGTTGTGGATTTCTTTTGCCCCCCCCCCCCCCCCCCCCTTTACATATGAGTGGGAGTTCCAGATCCAGTGAAGAGCTATGTGAAAATACATTGGGAGCTTTAGTTTATGGGTATGTGCTGCCATGGTTGGTAAATGTCTTGTTGCTGAGCCCGCAGAAGAACATACGTCTGACAGTGGCTGCAGTCACACTTGGGAGTGACATAACCTGCCATCCTCAAAGGGGTGAACCTGACAGCATAGAGTGTTGAAAGGTAAATGAAACAAGCTTAAATTATGGAAGTGTTGCTTGTTTTCTATTTCAATCCTAATAGGTTTAAACATAATCCAGATAGGGATTAATTCGTATGTGCCTTTGATCGCTGCTGAATTCAAAAAGAAGATGTGTAACCACCAACAATTAGGAGAGTCCAAAACATTTGCCTTTAAGAGTCATCAGTCACAAACTGTGTAATGCTGCTGAGGAAAATAATTACCAACGTGTGTATGAATGAGGGGAAAATTTGTTCTGCTGAGTACTTACCTTTTTAATTTTCTACTCTTATTACTGTGTATAGTTTATTTTTGCATGTGGAAAATGGGCGAATTCATAACAAACACTGGTGTACAGATAAAATTCTTACTTGGAGTATGCATTGTTCTCTCCTAACCATCACCACTGCACAAAACCAGAAGTCATAGCTTGAAAATTGCAGAACTACATAGAAAATATGAACTATGCCCAGATTAGTGTGTTTTTACCTAAAAGGAGCCTACAAGAAACCTGGAGAGGGACTTTTTACAAGGGAATGTAGTGATAGGAGCAGGGGGAATGGCTTTAAGATGAAAGATTTAGATTAGATATTAGGAAAAAATTCTTCACTATGAGTGTGGTGAGGTATTGGCACAGGTTGTCCAGAGAAGCTGTGGCTGCTCCATCACTGGCAGTGTTCAAGGCCAGGTTGGATGGGGCTTTGAGCAAACTTGTCTAGCAGAAGGTGACCTTGCCCATGGCAGGGGGGTAGGAACTGGATGAGCTTTAAGGTCCTTTCCAAAGCTAACTGTTCTGTGATTCAGACAATTGTATGATTCTTCCAAGTTTTGGTGAATGTAAACAGAGGAATAAAGTAATTGAAAGACTTCAGTTTTCAATCATCTATTTGAAGAAGGCTTAAACATCTTTGCATGATACATCAACCGTTTTGGGGTTGTGTTTTTTTTTTTTGTTGTTGTTTTTTTTTTTAATAAGTTATCTATTACAGATAAGCCCAGATCCAAATTACACCACCTCTGCTCCATCCTGAATTCTGTGTGTGAGCTAAATCTGGTTACAGATACGAGTCTGAATGTCATGAGCAGGGTGGAGTGAAGCTTGTCTTAGGATCTGACTCCCTTCTTCTCTGGACTTGAAATTGCTGTGAATTTGGCAGGTCTGAGCTAACTAATTTTTACCTAGTCCTCAAATAAATCAGAAACTGTAGACTGTCTTGTTACAAGGAGCGACTGTAGTTTTGTGTCTCTGAAACTTCAAGATGATCCTTAGCTGCCTGCGGCTTTCTAAATTTGAGTTTCTTTTGTTGCTGGTGTTATTCACTGGGAAAGAATGTGGCCCCATTTCCAGTGACAGAGGGTGTGAAATGTTAAAAAGTAGAAGATAGGTGGATTTTAAAGGGACAAAACCAACCAAACAAAAAGGTCAGAATTTACAGGAAAGCAAAAGGCAGCCTTGTTCCCTATTCAGCAGCAACTAAATAGCCATGGAGTCAGCTTCCTATCTAAATAATTAAGTTCTATCATGTGACAGTTACAAAGAATCACATACTGAACAAAGGATTTCCTTCAAAAAAAAACAGTTTATACAGGTGTTTTTAAATGCACATTACTCCCTGCTCCCCTTATCTCCTTGTCCTTTTTTTTTTAGCATAAGACATGCAGTGTGGCACATTATTCAAGTTTGGAAACTAGTTAGTGAAATTTAATTCATAACTGAGTGCTAGTGGGTTTAGACTTTAAGAAGTTCCCTAATTTATTTTTATAAGCAGTTGGAGTCATTTGCAGATGTCTGTGACAGAAGTCAAGTGCAAGGGTTGCTGTAAGCTAGCCAGCTTTTGTGTAACAAATGATGAGTGAGGAAAATTGACACTAAGCAGGATACCTGCAAGGTACTTGTATATTGTAGACTTTTGAAGTTGTTGAGTTGTGGTATCAGAAAATTCTGTAAAATATGCAGGTTTGTATAGGATCTGTACTTGGAAATAAAGCCTCTATGAAACCCTTTGGGGAAAGAAATGAAATAGATTTTTATATTGTTTTAATAGTCTATTAATTGAAGGTCAGGCAGTGTGAGGTAAATGGGTTCATGTATCACTTATGATTGGCAAGCAATTAACTTCTGGTAAATTAATTGTACAGACAGTGGAGTAGAGTCTGTCTTGACAGGTAAAAGTATTTGTTCATTCAAGTGACACTAATAGATGAAATGAAACTTGCCTACAAGTACATAACATTGGATCTACTTAGAAATTCCATTCTGCAGCAAGGTCCAGTGTTTTTAAAAATTTCTGAATAAGAGCAAACATTAGACATCCGCAGACTTCCAGTAGAAAGAAAGTACTGGGGTTTATGCTGAATCACTGAAAATTTTAATGTTTTTTTTCCCCCAGTATTTTAGTAAGGTGAAATGGACTGATAACCTTTAACATCACAAACCCCATAAAATATGAAAAGATATAAAGTAACAAGAAGCCAAAATTTCACTTGAAGTAATATTATATATATATACATATATAATATTACATAGTCAAAAGAAAACTGATATCAAATTGACTAATATCAAATTGACTTTTTCAATAAGTGGTTTGATATCAAGTGTTTCATTCTCCATCTCAATATGACTTAGTCACATTAAGTATACTTGCAAATTAATATATTTGAGGAAAAGCATCTGTTCTGCTCTAAGGAAAACAGTTACTTTAGGTGATACAGAACACCTTAATGAGATAAAATCCTAATACAATCAAGGTATCTTGTAGTTTTTACATGCTGTCACAGTGAAACTAAACAGGTAGGAACATAAGATAATTTTAGTCCTAATACATATGATATTGTTCAAACAAAAACAAAACAACAGAACCACCACACTTCTTTCCCTGTCTGCCCTGTTGTTTCCTTAATAAAGACGAAGTCCAACATAGTATGATTCGATTCAGTAGCTATCTTAGCATTTCTTAGATAGATAGCTTCTTCATCAGTAGCTATCACTTCTTAGATAGCTTCTTCAAAATCAGTGCAACTTCTTCCGCAGCTGTGGCTGCCCTCTCAACAACTGCCTGAAGGCAGTTAGCTTGCACATTGGAAACCTGGAGATTTTCTGTCCTGGGGCAGTTTTGTTCTTAAGGCTCTGTCTTTACCTGTGAATGGAGGCCATTAATAATACTGTTCCTTGGAAACGTCCTATTTCTTGATCAGCATACAACAGTTGTTTTGTAAAAACCAGTAAGTAAACTTCCACATCCTGGTTAAATTCCAGTTCAGGTAACAGCACCCTACTTACAGAGCTCCTGCAGTTTCAAAGGGATAGTTAATTGTCTGTTAAGCTACTCCGTAGTATTGCATGGTGTAGTTAAAATAGCTGTTGCATTTTGTTTGAGAGGTGGTCTCAGCTAATTAATGTATAAAGTGGACCCTCCCCCCATGATGTTTTGGGTTTTCTTTCATTTTTACAACGTATTTTGGCTATGGTAAAGTTACAGAAGTATCAAACTGTTTTTTTACCTTTTTTTTAAATTATTATTATTTTCCATTACGCTGAGTCTAATTACTGCGGTGACATAAATGAAATCTGAGTTTTAAAAATAATACAGAAATACAACTACGCAGTTTTACCATTAGCCTTATTCTTCAATCCTGTCTTAAATACACTGATCTCTAAAATCTCTGATACTAAATTTGCCATGGGATGGGATCAGTGCAGTTTTTAAAAATAAAGGCAGTGATATTCAAAAGATAAAACCATGGCAGTTACAATGAGAGTCAGCTAACTGCTTTTTATATGCGCCAAGGAGGCATACTAAGCATCATTTGGTTTTTTCCTTTCTGCTTTTTAAACAGATCAGGATGGATTTTTGATATCCACAAAATTTGACATATCAGATTGATAAAAATAGCACAGCAGAGAACATCCAATACAGAATCAGATTTACCACAAATCAAAACTGAAGTGTGAGTTTATTTCAAATTCAGAAGATCCTTACAGCAGTGAGGCTGCTGTCAGCTATGTAAGTATGACCTCATTCTTTGCCTGCAGAGAAGATACAATTAAGTGTAATTCTTTACTTCTTGGATTACAGCATTTATTGTCATAATCTCTCTGCATCTCCTTTCCAAAAACCCAAGCACTTTTGTAGTCCATATATTCTGGCAATATTTAGTATAATAAGCAAATTTGATTTCTGTTCTGCAATATGTCTGGAGTATCTCATTAAAGTACAAGTATGTTAAATGCAGACTAGTAATATACTGCTTTAGAATGCCTTTAAACAGGAATTTGAAAATCTACAACTATTAATGTTCAGCAATAACCTTATAAACAAATGCCTTTGATGGTTTACTCACGGGTAGGTGAATCAAAGTACTGATTTGTTTAGTTTTATAAAACTTCTATGCTTCCCTTCCCCCCCTTTTTTTTTTTACTTAAGGAATTAAAGTTCTACTTTGGAAATCACATGCTGGCTGAGGGAATAGTTATCTTTTGTAGGAACACAAACTTCCAAGCTTATGGGCAGAGTAATATTAACTGGAGACACAGACATTCCAAGAAGCCAAGTTAAACATCTTAAATCAGCATTAAGGTAAATCAATTAAAAAAAAAAAAGAAAGAAAAAAAGGGAGGGCAGTAGAAGCTGACACTTTTTATTTCCCCCAGTGGTAAATGAAACCTAAAGCTGGCTCAGGCTGTGGAAGGGTCCTCTGGAAGAGGAAGGGTTATAGCATGGAGGGACTGAATCAATTTTTGTGAAAATGGTTTCTGCAGGAACTAGATGAGGGCTTTTTTTCATCTCAGGAAGAAACCGTGATATTTTAGGGCTGTGATTGTATATATTAATGGTCCAAAGTAAAATTCTGAATAAGGATAAAAACTACATCTTAAGTTCCTGGAAAGATAACTTATTTCACATTTGCTGCAGGCAGGCATGAATTTTTAATGCACTCTTATTTCTCAGGCATTTTTCTACAGTATTTATTATTGTATATTCAATATGTTACTGTAAGTAAAAATAAGTCTTTAAAACTGACAAAGTTAAACATGTCTTTCTTGCCACACCAGAATGTTCTTCAAACCAAAAATTTTGCTGCAAATTGTTCTTGCAAATCAAAGTCTAATTGTTTTTAACTATAGACCCTCAAAGCCAATTTGAGTGCAGAAGAAAGGAAATCACAATTTGCTGAGTAGACTTAGGCTGTATATAATCAGAAACATTAAAAAGGAATGACATTTCCTTGTTTTTATGGCCCAACTCTGGTAATAATACTATTTTAACGTGATTTATAACATAAGCAAGATCGTAGTAAAGTATTTTTACTTTGAGAAGGCAACAGTGTAGAAACTAAAATGGAAAATCTGTTGTTAAAGCATTCAGTGAAGACCAGACTAACCACTTGAGCCAAACAGCACAGATTACATGCAGTATGTTCAAGCCACTCCAAGTAAAGACACGCCAACTGTAGACATAAGGAGCGACAGAGGAGTGAAAAAAAAACACCAACCAAACAAAACCAACGAATACCTCCCCCCAGTAGCAAATAGGTGATTATTGTGCTAAGTTTGAAAAAGTTTCTGTGGAAATTCGAAAAAAAAAGACACATACTTAAAAGAAATTTTAATACAGTGCTTGTAATTATGTAGACATCAAAATCCCTCCTGTTTAAAGTGTTAACTGTGGTAGCAAGAAATCTGCCAGTACCTAAATTAGTCTGGCATTTTCATGGTGTCAAATACTGTAATATGTACAACTGGCAAAGAACAACATAGTTTCATGCATCAAGTGCCAGCAGCAACCCCACTAGCAGTGCAGTTTAATGAAGGCTATCAGACTCCAGCATACTGGAAACCTCTCTCTTCCTCTTTTTTGGCAACTTTAAAAATATAAAGACATAGTCATTAGACTGGAATTTACATGACCTATTTTTCCAAACGCATGATTAACACATCACACCCTTAAAGAAAAATTATTTTGTTTCTGAAACTTGTCCAAGCACTGAATGCATGAAGTAAGTAAACAGTTCCTGGTACATGCATGAAGCCATCAGTTGCACACACAAATTCAGATCAAAGCTTTTCCTCCTGATTTTTGGACATGTACAGTATCAGTGTATTGAATAATTATTTATTTTCCTTTAGTGAGTCATGGTAAGAGACAGCTTTTTCAAAACTTGCCAGCACATCCTGTGGATAAATATGTATACACTTTACGTATTGTATTAGAAATTTTAATGTTTGTTCTTGTTTATTTAAATATTGCACACTATAAAACTACAAGATAAGCACTGAAATAGCAAAGTAATGGGCAAACTATTAATGCCTGAATCAATTTAAGTCCTAAAACATTAAATACTTTGAGTACTAGTTTGAAAATTTATAGCATTACTTTTATTGTAAAATACATACAATCCTACATATAAAACATATTTGCCTTTATGTTGCTGTGCTGCCAAATAGGACTGTTATCCCTACAAACTAATAATTCCAAAAGGAATTACTGTGAGCACCTTTCTGCAGTTTTCACAAGACAACTATAGTGAGCTACCCATGCATAATTAGTTCACCTTAAAACTAGCTATTTCTTTTGCATTTGCTTGTTCTTTGTTGGCATTAAAACTAAAGTTACAGCTCTAATGCAAACAGGTTGGTTTTGGTGCAGAGGGAAAGACTCTGCAGGCCCCAGAAGGAAGCAGCAGTGGAATTAGGAGTGACTGAGATACAAAACTGGCCCTGACTTTTTGCTCTTTCTTGCGAAGCATGTAAGATTAGGTGTTTAATAAGCACTGCAGTAATCTGTTGAAGGCTAGTTCTCCCTCCCCTCTTTGAAACAAAATGAAGGACAAATGAGGCTGGGGATGCCACTGGTTCAGGAATGGGATGAATCACAATGAGAGCCACCTTCGGGCAGGAAAACCTTACTCCCCTCGGGGAAACGTTTCTCCCTTCTCATTGCTTCTATTCCCCGGGAAGCTCACAGTGGGACACCTCCAGACAACGGCCTCCTGAAGCATTGTGCCCTAATGGGAGGCGGTTGAATGAGATGGCGGGGAGGTATCTCAAAACAATGGGCGTAGGAAGGCACCCATCTCCTTCTGGAATTCGACGACCAAGCAGGAAGAAGTGGAGACCTCGTCTGTAATCTTGATCGGGCCGGCAGTGTGAGCTGACAAGGATGCCTACAGCAATGTAATGAAGCCCTATTCTTAGAATTCAGTAACGGGTAAACGTCATCAGTAATTTTCCAATTATATTTTAATGCCCATTTTTTGAGCATGAAATTTCTTCAGATCGACAAGTTTCTATGTAACCACAGAAAAATTTCCCAGTGGAATTACCTCGAGGAGTGGTGTTGTTTGTAAATTGTGATTTTTAAGAGCTTTGCCCCTTGTATCGATAAATTCAAAACTTGTTCAGGTGCCTAGTTCTCTTCATGGTGGTTTCACAGGAGTTCTAATTAAAGAGCTGCTTATCATCATCTCAGGAGCATGTCTCTCTTTCATCTTTCCATAATCTCCCGTTGTTCAACAAATGTCCATTGCTTGCTGCAGACAGTGAAGCCCTCTCCTAATCAGTTTCTCCTCTATCCTCCTTTAGCAGCTCATAACATCCACTGCAATGACTGATGCCAGCTCCCACCACTTTCCTCAGATTCCTTAAAAACTCATGCCATTTCTCCTCCAGCATCAGCCCCCAGAGCCACTGCATCATTCTGCACCGCAGCAGCTTTCTCTTCTGCTGCGACTTTGGAAGCTGCTTAGTATAACAGGACAGCGGCAGTAGCACCAGAAGTTAAACATCCACCCATTTTCTGTTACGGATTTGAAACCTGTCGCTACATGGCTATGAGGTTTCAGTGCTCTTCCAGACCTCCGTTATCAACAACTGTTTGCTGAACGTCCTGTAACCAGTAACATGCCCTCTACAAGCAAGGTCTGTCCACGCCGGTTTTCCCATGCCGGCTAAGAGCACAGTCACCCTTTTCGACGGTGAACTCGTGAAGCTGCTCTGACAGTCAAGTTTTATCGGTAACCACTAGCCAAAGTGGCGAGAGCCGCCTCTTGGGGAGGAGGGCTGCCCTCAGCCGGGCCGGGCCTCAACCGGCGGCAGCGGCTCCTGCTCCCCCAGTTTGAGTTTCTTATGCGGAATGACCCCTTACAGGGCTGTCGGTGGCGGTGAGCCCCGCAGGACGCCAGAGGCAGGGCCCTCCACTCCACAGCCGCTGCCCCCGCCCCAGCCGTGTGCAGCACCCACTGTCTACTCCCGCCCACCTCGGGCCCAGCCACCGAAGCGTCCGGTCGCTGCGCGGCCGGGTTTCACGATAGAGAGGGCCGGGCGGCGCTGTGGGCCCCAGGGGAGCGGCCCGGCACGGCACTGCGCGGCGGGGCGCGGCGCAGAGCCTCCTCCCGGGCTGTTCTTCCCCTGCCGGACGGAGAGCGGCACTGTGTCCCCGTGGCGCGCGCTCCACCGGAGTCTTCCTTTCTGCCGGGCCACCACCGAGCAGCTCCCCAGTCCCTGCGTCCGCCACCGGCGGAACTCGGCGAGCCGAGCAGCGGGAGGTAAAGGCCGGCGGGGTCTGGAGCGAAGCAGAGGGACCGGGGAGGAGCCTTGCCTCCCCCCCTGCTCCCATAGGGTGCGGGCCCCCAGCTGTTCGCCGGGGCCTCCGCCATCTCGGGGGCGGGGAGGCGGCCGGACCATGCGGCGGCTTCTGCTACAGCTCTACCCCACTGGCCACCTGGCGTGCGGGGTCCTCCTCACAGCGTCCCCGTAGCACGGCGGGCCCGGGGGCGCCGGGGGCCCGTCCCCAGGCGTCACTGGAGGGGAGTTGCCTGCGGGTGGGAGGCGAGGCAGCGGGGCGGGTGTTGCGCGGCGGGTCCGCCCGCCAACTGAGGCTCGGCCGTGGGCCACGGGCCGCGATAGCTGCTACTGCGCGATGAAGGGGCCGTGGCTGGGGGAGCGTTGTAGTTAGCGGGGGGTGAGCCACTCCGCTGCCGGGCTAAGGCCTGCCCTCCATGGAGGCCTTCCTGTGGGCCTTGCCTCCGGAGCTACCGCTGGGTCGCCGTCGCGATGAGCACTCTGGGCAGTCCTCGGCGTGAGGTGCCGGCTGCCTGCCTCTCTCTGTCGATGGCTCTCCCTCGCCGGTTGGCCGCTTAAGCGGTGCCCAGGCTTCCGCTCAACGGTAGTGACTTCTACTCCCGGCAGCCCCGGAGAGGGCTGCGGTCCGGCCTGCTCTGCCGGCAGCTGGGGCCTGTGTGGCGGCCCTGACCGATGCAGGAAGGATCGGTGAAACGCCTCGCACGTTTGTCCCCAGAAAATGATGTGGAGTGCCCGTGAATCCTGAAAGCACCTCGCAGAGAACAGAGCCCTGCGAGATAAATTCACCCCGTCCGAGATGAAATCAAAAGATTTTTAGTACTTCAAGAGCTCGTTCGTTCTGAAGAGCTGAAACGTTGTTTATTGTGTAATTATTTGTATCCTTTGTAGCCTAGTATTCCCACGTGCTTTAGACACAGTCTTAAGGTCACTGGGCCTTAGTAAGGCCTGATTTAATGGGATAGGGAAAAAAATACTCTCGAGAGGTATGTAAAATGTTTTTATACAGTGTTTTGACGGTGTTTAGTGTGAACTGAGTCTTCCAGTAGGACGAAAGTAATTCATGTCGAACTTAAGCAAAGAAACACTGAAAGTATTTGGGGTGCTTAAGGTAAAGCAGAAGAACAGAGAAGATAATCAGGTTGCTCTTCATCCATTTCAGCATCACTGAAATAAAAGCTTTAGATGGTATGTCTTGAGCTGTGGTTGAAGGTTGAAATACAAGCCTGAAGCGAATTACAGAAGGGCAGAAAAATTTAAGTATGGTATACGTTTGTAAGTATGACAGATTTAGCCGTGATTCATCCAGGTACAGTCACCATGACTAGGGCAAGGCTTGCTTGTGTCATGTGTTCACAGGACTTTCAAGTTGAAGTAGCTTGTGTTCTGTAGATTAATGAAGAAGGGAATTTAACAGCATCAAAGCGCATCTTAAGAATTCCTTCATTCTTTATAGACTTTTTCCTATCATGTTTTAGGTTTGTTTTTAACTCTGCGGTTGCCCTGTACTTTTTGTGGTCTCATTTTATTTTTTTAAAGAGCTCTCCCTCTATTGTGTTGGCATTAATGTATTTTAGGAGGGCACTGACATAGAGGGAAATGAGATTCTTAGTGTTACCAACGTGGAAGTGCATTTACCCGACAAATATGTTAGCCTTGACAGGGTATTGGGAAACATCCATGGTACACTTACAGCTGTTTATGGTGTAGGTGGATTGCTACTTGTGGCATTGTCTGTTTTACAGAAGATAATTATGTTGTCGTGAATTGGTTAATGAATACATTGCAATACTTTGGGGGTTTGTAGTTTTGAGGAATTGCATGGTGTCTTGTCTTTCACTCCTGCCTGTGTACTGATCTGTAGTCCATGCTAAATGGCTGACATAGTCTAAATATTGTTTTAAATAGAGTTTTCTGCATGTGAATTTAGCTCTGATAAAAGTTCCTGAATTACTAATCATTGGGGTTTAGGAAGTTGCTGCTGTTTTTCTTACAGAGGCTCTGCCACTGTGAAAATGTGAGCAGGGTGTTAATTAGCTGTCAGTTACACTGCCTCTCAGAATTAAGTAAAGCCATACATTGGTATTTTCTTCTGAATCCAGCTGTGGTTATGGAAGAGGTTAAATTTTCCACCTGTTTCCTCTCACTGGGGATTTTTGATCTGCCCCGAGTTATTTTATGTAATTGATCTGTGTTCTATCTCAAAAATTGCCTGTGTTAACTCAAACCACCATTTAAAACCAAACAGATTTGGCTGATATTTTCTTACAGTCATATAACGTGAACTCATGTGAACTACTTTTTGAATGTAAATGACAGGTTTAGGCCTCTATCAAGTAATTAATGAGAGCAAGCTTTCTGTTGATGTACCTAGCTTAGGATGAGGTTGTCTGTCTTGATTTGCATGAAGCTAATAGCTGTACAATGCTGTGTATGTGCTATGTTCAACTGACATAGTGGCTTCAGTAAGGGAAGTGCATTTGAACATATGAAGTAGATATAATTGCCCTGACAGGTCTGTGTAATGTAGTTCCAGCCTGGGACCAGATAAGTGATTTTATTTTTTTCCCCAGAATATATTTAGGATGTCTACAGGAATAAGCTGTTTGCACTCCTGTCTTGCTTTCTTTCTGTGATTTGGTTTCTTGCTTTCTTTTTAAAGTTGAAATTGTGTGATGTGAGTTGAATCAGTGTGAGCTGGCTAAGTGGAGTATGTGTCAGTGTAGTGTGTTCCTGTTTGGGAAATTCTGGACTGGCTGTTATGTTGTTGTTGTACATGGACAACCAGCAAAGTTCACAAACTGCTTTATGTCTCTTTCCAACCTGACTCCTCAGCTTCTCTATGTGGCTGCTATTGTTCTAAAATCACTGGTTGATACATAACACCTTATAGATGAATAGGTTAATAGATAACAGGTGAAAAACTTGGTTTCTGTTCCAGTGTACCTTGTGCTCTTATACTCTAGTAATCATGAGCTCATTAGTCTCCTGTCCTTGGAAGTGCTTTCTGCAGACCTGCATGCATCTTCATTTTGTTTCTGAATTTGAGCCCATGCTGAAGTTCAGAAATTGTTTGTGCTTCAGCTTTGTCTCAGTATGCAGTAAACCTTCATTTAGGGTCACAGAACTGAAAAGTGTGTGAGGTGGTTAAGAGGGAAGTGGCAGCTGGGAATCACTGGAGTGCAGCACTGTATGCATCATGGACTTGAAGGCCTTAAGCAGACCTTCAGGTAGGAAGTGATTATACTGCAGAAAGTTGGCCAGACAGTGCTGCCTTTGAATTATTCTGTGTATCTCATTCAAGGGAAACGTGTGGACCTGAGAAGCCCTTGTATGTGGAAGTACCAGAATCAAGACCTGGTCATATTGCAGAAGCCCTATTAGGTGTCTATGCAGGTCTGAAGATTCACACTCTGGAGCCCGAGTCTTTGACAGCCACTTCCCTTTGTTCCCAGCCAAGTTAAAGTTGCAGCACCATCTATAAGAAGAAAGTAACCTGTCTTCATTTGCGTCAACAGCTGAAGCAAGCCAAGAATTGGGGAAGTAGCATTTGCATTTATTGCCAGCCCTGAGTGTTGCCAGTGCAGAAAACAAAAGTGTTCTTTTAATGTTCCATTTTCCCTTCCTTCGTAATGCCACCTGCATGTATGTACCCATAATTGTAGAATACCAGGTTGGAAGGGACCTCAAGGATCATCTGGTCCAACCTTTCTCTGCAAAAGCAGGGTCCAGACAATATGGCCCCAAACTCCA